TCTTGAAGAGATGGCTAGAACTATGCTCAATGAGGCAAACCTTCCTAAATATTTTTGGGCGGATGCCGTGAGTACCGCGTGCTACGTGTTAAACCGAGCCGTCATTAGACCGATACTCAAGAAAACGCCCTATGAACTTTACAAAGGAAGAAAGCCTAACCTTTCCTATTTTCATGTCTTTGGATGTAAAGTTTTTATTCATAATAATGGAAAAGATAACTTGGGAAAATTTGATACTAAGTCGGATGAAGGAATTTTCTTAGGGTATTCTCTTCGTAGTAAGGCATATAGAGTGTTCAACAAGCGTACTAAGACCGTAGAGGAGTCTATTCATGTTGTCTTTAATGAATTTGATGCTCGCTTGGCGAGAAAAGGTATTGTTGATAATGTTGCAGGTTCGTATGAATATAAATTGAATATAATTGGGTCTACTTTAGGATATCATTTTGATATATCAAATTTTTATATCATTTATTTATTTAGATTATATTTAATTTTTGATCAAAGAGTGTCATTGTTTGACTAAAAAAATAAAATAGGAAAGGTTTTTTTGGAACGGAGGGAATATAATGTTTTCATTCATTTATTTTGTTATAATACTATTACGTTAATTGTCATTTAAATATAATTAATATATATACTTTAATTTATTAGGTGGCCTTTAGGGCCATTTTTTCAGTTTCGGCCCATGCCATTGAATTCTCTGGACAGACCCTGTGCAAAAGCCTGTGTAGTAGGGGTGAGCAAGTACCGAACCGATACCAAAATTTCCCAAAAAAATCGAGAATACCAAATCGAAAAATACCGAACCAAAAAAGTACCGAGAAGAAACCGAACCGTACCGAACCGAATGGTCGGTACGGTATTTGGGAACGGTACGAGGTGACGTCCCATACCGAAAATCCCGAACCGAACATATATGCTAAAATATTATAAAAAATAATACCCCGGAGTAATATTTTTCATATTCCTTCACTAAATAATAATTTTTTAAAAAAAATTGGTTCAAGTTTTATTATTGTAAGTTATACTTTTATTTTGGGATCGGGATCGGTACGGAATAAAATCCCATACCGAACCGAAATATTTGGTACGATATCCGTACGGGCTAAATACCGTACCATACCGTACCATGATCACCCCTCCTAAAATCTGAGCGGGAAGAGGATTGCGTAGCCGCAGGAGGGCCATAAGAATGACCTAATCAATACCATTCAAGAACCTCCATAACAGAGAATACCATGGCCACAAGAAGAAGGTACTGAACTGATTGTAAAATTTTCACTGTCATTTACAAATATTCATCTTTAGGAAAAACCCTTAACTGTCCGCTTTCTTTTTCTCCTGAATTTTGCGAACCCAATTTGTTTGTAAGGCTGAATGAACTGTCTTTTTTCCTTTTTTTAAATGAAATACAAAAGGTTCATTCTGTAGCCTGGAATTGCATCGACACTAAACTAGCTTCAGGATCAGTTGATCAAACTGCTCGTATTTGGCATATTAATCCCCATGGTCATGTAAGCTTATTCATTTTAGTTAACTTCAAAAATGAACCTCTCTGCCTGCTTCTTTGTAGCTTAGGAGAATCTCTATGCTTATTTCTTTTTACCTTAAGTGAATCTCTCTGCATGTTTCTTTGTACCTTAATCTCTCTGCTTGTTTAGTGTCTAATATAATGTTTTTTTAGTTGAGTTAAAAATTTTCATTAAATGAACAAAAGATGTGTACTCTTGAGTTTTGACACTTTTTTTAATCTCTTCGATCTTCCTGAAAGTGTTTTGATATTTCAATACTCCACTTTTTTGTTGGAGCATGAACCTGAAGAAAAAAGACATGCCAACATGACAAAACTGGTTCTGCCAAAGCCTTCCGACCCCAACTTTCCATATCCTTGTATCAAAGGCTTCGTTGGATTATATCAGCAGGTACTCACGTGGTAGATTTGAAACATGACCCAAAAGATCTCTTATCTCACAGTTTCATCTAGTGATGTGAGCTCCATCCAAGGGGTTGCTCAATAGTCAATACCACGGCTTACCTCCTCCCCGCAAGACTTTGAGTAGAAGGGCGCCCACCTGGACAATTTCATCATTTGGAACATGGTTCTCTCTTTCTTTCTCTTTAATAGTTACTGTTCTCATCCCGAGTCATTTTTAATTGCTAACGGTCTTTCCCTTTTTCTTAACTCCTAAAATTAATTCACATCTATTTTAACATACATATCTCTCTACTATCCAAGTAGGAGTAAGGTCTGCGTACACACACCCTCCACAACCCTACTTTAGTAGAATTCTATTGGGTTGTTGTTGCATAACTTGTATCGCAACCACCACCTTTTTTTAATATTTCAGCATTTTGATTCAGATAGTAATATAGTATCACATGTCTAATGGTGGTGGTTCTATATAATATGGTTTTTGGTCTTAAATGATCTAATCATCACTTTAATTTTTGATCAGTACGTATTCTTGTTTTGAAACTAGACCAAACATACTGCAAATCAGAAACATTAATACTGGACTAGACAGACACTAGGCTGTTTCACTCACCAGACTAGATGATATATTTAAAACAAAGATATTGAAATTCTAAGCATTGAGACCCGACTAAACAAAAGACTGGTCGATCAAAGGAATTTTTGATATATGTTCATAATAAATTAGATCAGAAAGATTCAAAAGAGACCAGATCTTGAAATATTCCTATTAAAGCAGCGCCAACAAATTCTTAGACACCTCTAACAATAAGTCTTGATGCTAGTGTTAACTCTTATAATTCCTCCCTATTTTAGTTAACATCAATTGTTTTGGTGTCTCTCTTCTTAGTTATTTGTATAATAGATCCTACATATTAGGAACACTGATAAATCTAACCCACCCAATTTCACCCACTTTGATGTTTATGTTTAATGGTGCTTAATTTTCTTCCTATACTTAGTTTCACTTTGAATTATCACACGCCATTACGATTCTAACTTTACAACAATCCCTTTTTGGATACATGAACAAACACCATATCATTTGCATACGAAATACATTATGTTATCTCACCTTGGCTAGGTGTGGTTTAACTAATTCATGATGATTGTGAATGTGAAGTGGTTTAGAGTGGGTTTTTGGTTTAGCAAAATTGTGATAAGGAAAGCAACAAGTTCTAACTTCTAACACTTTCCTTCATTTCTAGTTGCATATTCGGATGTTCTTGATTATGTCATGAAATTTATGTTGTATCCTTCTTTATCACTGCTCACCAAGTACTTTTGTAGTTCCTTATCATGTACTTCTCCAACTATAACAAAATCATTGACAAATTTTTTAACTTGTTTGTGGCTTTGTGCTCAATGAAATGTCACAATAGATGACTAGTTTCAATTGTTGATCAGTCGATTTCCATGACATAACCTGATCCTTGTTTTGTAATACTTAATTTTTTTCTATATTCTTTGTTCTATCACCCCTCCTCTAACTTCATGGTAAAACTCATGTTCTATTCTCCATATTTTAAAAGTCTTGAGCTTTCACTTTCTATTATCAATAGTTCCTTTGTTTTTTCTCTATGCATTTGATATTCTATCATGCCTTTCGAAGCGAGTGTTATGGTTTCTCTACAGTGGAGCATAGCAACCAGCCCTTAAAATGGTACGAGTATATCAGTGCAGCAAATAGGAGGGATAACTGAGTGCATGATGCTTACTATATAAATATTCAATATAAAAATGATTAAAATTTACCAATGTTAATGATATTTGAACTTACCAGTTGCTACTTAACCCAGAGAATTTAAAAGCGTATAGCCGTATACATCAGTGTAATGGATCATTTTTCATCCTGATGGTGTTTGATCATCTTTCCAAATATGCTCATTTTATGGCTCTACCGTGATAGAATTTAGGATGGAGTATGGACCTATGTTGCACGGAAACTCCATATAGGCTGCCGTACCCGTTTCGGACACCTTGGACACGCCGACACGCCACGGACACGCCTGGAGACGTCTCGGAAACTCGAAGGGCGTTTCTGTAATTTTAATTTTTAAAAAAGAGAAAAAAACGCCAAGGAAACGGCTGGGACACGCGTGTCTCTTTTGGGAAACGGCAGGGACACATCTTTTAAAAAAATGGGGTTCTTTTTATAAATTTTAAAAGTTTTGGAACTGACTCAAATTATAAAAAGTATTATCTGGCCCTAAATATTCATCGCTCCTCTATGTTACGCGGCTGTCAGATTCATCGACAATAGACAGCAGCCCTTGAAGAAGCTTTACTCAACTGGTTGGCCAACTACTCGCCGACAAAGGGCGCGACATCAGGTGAAGTATTCTCTCCAAATAAAAGCTTCTCGCCAACAAAGGGAGAAACTTACGCCGTTGATCAGTGACTTCTGGATTTTATGTTATGTATTTTGAACTTATTTATGCTTTAATATGTTTTGTAATGACTAAATTATGCTATCTCTTTTGAACTTATACTTTAATATGTTTTGTAATGACTAAATTATGATATGTCTTGTGAACTTATACTTTAATGTATTTTGTAATGACTAAAATATGTTATGTATTGTGAATTTGTTTAGATAATTTTATTTATTTATATATAACTTTTATATATAAATTTGGCGTTTCCCCGGCGTTTCGTCTCTTCATTTTTTCAAAATAGCCGTTTCGGCGTGTCCGTTTCGTTTCGTCTCCGTCCCCGTTTCCGTTTCAGTGCTACATAGGTATGGACAACTGGATTAGGCAATAAGACACTTGGGTTGAACCACATTAAAAGATTGAATCAAATCAATTAGTTAGTTCAACTCAAGAGCTTATATACCGATTATTTTGCTCTTGAATTTCCGATGTGGGTTGACACTCTAACACTCCCCCTCAAGTGGAGTAGTGGACAACCGGGCCATTTTGAATCTAACCGGTTGACCACTTGCAAATAAACTACCATTCCCTTGTTTTTTTGTGAGCGCCAACACTTTAAAGGACCACGAGCCGTTGGGTATGGACTTCCAGGCGAGCAATCGTGTTTGCCGTTGGGTACATACTCCATACGGACAACTGGGCTAAAGACTAATGGGCCGCTAGGAATGAACGTCAGACACCTTGACAAACGAGGTGGGCCAAAACTTGCTCAGATACCATGATAGAATTTAGGATGGAGTATGGACCACTGGATTAGGCAATAAGACACTTGGGTTGAACCACATTAAAAGATTGAATCCAATTGATTAGTTAGTTCAACTCAAGAGCTTATATACCGATTATTTTGCTCTTGAATTTCCGATGTGGGATGACACTCTAACATACCACATCCTTACACAACTGGCTTGATGGATCAACTTTTCTTTGTTAATTATGTTAAACTCCATGGGCCCTTGGAAACCATTGTCAGTGATAAAGTGTTTACAAGGAATTTTAGGAAGGAATTGTTCCATCTTAGTGACACTACATTGTCCTTTTCTAAAGTAAGAGCTTGTTCTTTTCAACTTATTCTTATTACATATTACTTGTTCTTATTAGAATCTGATCAGATTAGATTATAAACAACTTTAAACATAACTACAATCAGATCAGAGCAGATCAAATGAGAACGTATTCCAATTAGATTAGACCAATCACATCACCTGAAGAGCAAGCCATTAATTACCCTAAAATTGACAGCCAAACAGAGGTGGTGACAGTTGAGATGTAGGTGTGATGCCTTGTGGTGTTCTGGGTGATCAGCTACACCGTTGGGTAGATTGGCTTCCTTGGGCTGAATATTGCCACGATACCTCCTATCACTCTGCTTTGAAGACGAATTCACATTCTTGAAGACGAATTCACATTCTGTTTGGTTTATGTTTGTGACTCTCCAAAACTTGTGACAATTGATACAGGCTTAATGAAGGTGGCTGCTGTTGAGGAGGTTATACTCTCCTATGATCTTGCAATCTGCCAAAGGTAATGGTAGATACCGAATCAGAAAAACAGAATATAACGATCACTCTATCTAAACTTACCAACCAAGCATCTCACTTTAAGAAACTCTAATACCCAAGCACATTGTCCAAAATCCAAATGATAAAATATAATTCTGATTCCTCATCCCTTGCTTTATGCTGTTGATTTTGTATATAAAACTGAAATACAAAAATAAAATGAGTAGTATGATGGAGAATGATAAAGAGGTACCGAAGTGAGAAGAAAGATTTACACATGGCTTTTATTGATTTGGAAAAGGCATATGACAGGGTGCCAAGAGAGTATTATGGAAGGTGTTAAAGAAAAAAGGAGTAAGGATTGCGTATATTCGTACGATTAAGAACATGTACGATGGTGCTACGACGAGCGTGAGAAGTCAAAGTGGGGTAATAGGAGAATTTCCCATCGGTGTAGGATTACATCAAGGGTCATTGTTAAGCCATCTTTTTACAGTAATATTGAAATGAAATACAGACTAAGTGGTAACTGAGGAAGAACTCAGAATATTTGGATTCCAATCTCAACAATCTCGCCTTGATGTGCTTCCCTTATATGTATTTTTAATTCTTCATGCATCAAGAAGATATGTAGAGAACTTGTCACTGCACTACTAATTTTGAACAGTATTAATAGTACTCTACAAATCTTCTCGATGCATGAAAAGTTAAGAAAAAATATAAGGCACGATCAGGGAAGCATATCAAGAAGAAATTGTTGGAGACTTTATAGACTTTAAATGCCACACGCTGCAGGAGACATAAAGATGTCTCTTTTCAAAATTTGATTTTTTCTTCATAAATTCAATCAGCGACCGTCTGCAACGTTGAATGCCTCAGGAGAGGGAAGTATTAGCGAGCTGTCCGTGGCTTTAAACGCCTCAGGAGATGGAAATTTGAAGTTTCTTCAGATTTTTTTATAAAACCAGATCTTTTAGATCGAATCGGTCCATAATCCAACAATTCTAGCGTTCGATTCGACGATCCCAGACAATGAAAACAACAACAACAACAACGACAACAACAAAAGCCCTATCCCACTAGGTGGGGTCGGCTACATGGACCAAACAACGCTTTTGCGCCCAATCATATCCAATAATTTTCCGATTCGAGCAACGATCTATATCATGTATAGTGCTCGTAGAATCATGCTATTCTATGAAGCAAATTACGAATTCACGATTTCAACGACCATGGAACTCTGAAATAAAACAATTTTTCCCACTTTATGTAGAGATTTATGTGAGATGCTCACTCATACTTGGTATGTGATTGACAGGTGGCAAATGTTCTCAACAAGTTGAATTAAGTGGGGAAAATATAAATATCACTTATAAACCTGATGGTACACATATAGCTGTTGGCAACAGGGTAATGTTTTTTTCTATATTATATCTTCAGCTTGTTAGTTTGATCTTCACACTCAAGTTAGACATACTCCATAGTATTTGTCTATAGATTCACATTTAGTGTTTTTACCTGTATGCACAACTGAATAGTAATTTATCCATGCAATATATATCGCCAGCTTTTCTGTACGGTAAATTATTATTGTTAAGTTATGTGCAGGAAGATGAACTTACAATATTGGATGTCCGCAAATTCAAAGCTATACACAAGCACAAGTTCAACTATGAGGTACTCCATATGTTTTTTGCTACTTGCACCATGTGAAAGTTTCTTAAAATTTGATTACATGACAACTTTGTATGAGTTATTTTATTTCATAGATGTAGTTGTGAAGGGGGTATCCAACATGATTACAATGGGTTTATTTTTCTTAGCACTGGACCTGTTAATATTTCCTATGGAAGAGTAGACATAGTTTCTAGAATTGGTCAAATTCGTTTTTTGTTAAGATGGGTGACATATGCCCATGTTTTGTCAGTCAGGGCTTGGGTATTTATACTTTTCATCCCTCGTTTATTGTTCGGTCCAACCTACTTATATATATTTGCCTACGAAAAAAAGCAGTATATGAAGGACTAAATGGAGGTAGGATTTCAGAAAATAGGTAGGAAGAATGATTGTACTACATTGAAATATAAGACTATAAGAGATATTACTCACTCTTAAGACCAGGTGTTTTCCGAAAACCTCGTTTCCTCAAGCCACGTTAGGGCGTTACCCGGGCTATTGTTGGGGGAGTATCCTGGCGGCTTAGGACCTTCTCAAGGAAGGGGTTGGTCTGTGTATTTGTAACGGAAAAGACACTTTGGTTTGAGGTTCTCCCTGGCTCCCAATTGGGAGAACTCTGTCCATGGCATCCATATTGCCGCTGGGTGTTAGTGATCTAGACCTGCAGGCGGATGCTTTTATTATGCTTGGGTAGGCACGGTGGGCTGAGATGTTCTTTTATGCGGCCTTCTTTATTTTGTCGGGCGATGTTGCAATGGGGGCTGTGTTGTTCAATTATGGATTGCCCATTTGATCTGCTGTTAGCAGAAGTGTGGTTTTTAAGAGGGGTTTCTCTGTTGAAGGGCCGACAGGTACCGCTGGTGGATGTATGCTCTGACAATGTGCAGGTAGTCAACGTTTTTGTGACAAGGTGACTCCTGAAGCTTGGAATCTTGTCCTTTATTGATGATTGTAAGAAACTGGTTTTATCTTTTGATTTTGTTTTGTTTTCGTTCATTGTTTGTGAGCGTAATGCTGCTGCTCACACGCTCACGTGTAGTACTATGTCTCGTAGTGGTGTTTGGGAGGCACCCCTGACTTTGTTTCCCATTTGATTTAAAGCAATGCAATGCTATTTTGGCTTTCAAAAAAGATTAGGAAGGGAATATAAATTGAACACTCAAAATCAAGGTTCACTCAAAGAGCAAACTCTTATATTTCTCAAATCATTTTCTGATTTATTCCAAATATCAACTCCTTTTTATAATGCAACATTCTCAGTCATCTTAATGATGGGTTATGAAAACAAAAAAATTCGGCCAAATTTTAATTTTCCACAAAAAAATTCAGCCACTACGCTTAGAAATACAGAAAGGGTACTATGATTCAAGAAATATTATTATAGAGACAAATTATTATTCACTCAAGACATTAATGATGGATTTCTTCCTTTTCACAATTTCACTGTTGCATTTTCGGCTAAGCTCTAAGCTCATCATAAGGAAGGAAATTCCTTGTCAAAAGACCCTTGACAATTCACTGTTGAACAGTGTATTGTCTCTATTGATTAACTATTTGCCAGGTTGGCTTCCTCTTCATTTCAAATGTCATATTGGATGCTTTCTTCTCTGTCTATTTCGTCCAAGGATAATTAGGATTTTCCAAGTATTAATTTAGGAGTCTATTTGAAGCCAATATAGCATGAAAATTGTAGCCCTCACTGATCAGAATTTTTGGGCCAAGGGTATTGAGAAGTGATTGATTTTAGTTTATTAATGATATATGTAGAAAATGCCAAATAAGAAGACAATTAGTCCTTCGCGTTTATTTTACCAAATAAGGAAAATTAAGTCAAAACTGTAAGAATGAGAATTTCGGGCATTTTTGGGTCTAAATATCCTACCTGAAATGTTTCATAGCCACTTTGACATTAAGAGCCTTATTCACCAACCAATCTCGAGACTTGGAAAGCTACCCTCATATATATCACATACATGCGTCAAAGGCGAACGCCTCTTGCCCAGAAGTCAGGCATGCAAGGCAAACACCTGGAAGCCTCAATTTGAACTTCACCCACCTTGCGTCTCTCCAAGCAGTAGACCTTCACCTCATCGCCTGTGGTGTTTTAGGCGAGAAGAGGTGACCATCTATGCTGGTTAGTTGCTAGGCATCCTTAGCCACCTACGATTTATTCCTACCTAAGACCGCATAGGCCCCGATCAATCTTTGCTTAAGACTGCCTAGGTGCTAGGTTTCAGTCTACCACCTAGAGGATGCCTAATGGTTTTTTTCACTGCTCTGATGCTGATCTGACCGGCTGTCCTATAGAAAAACGATCCACTTCTGGGTAGGGTATCTTTATTGGTTAAAACTTATGGTCTTGGAAGCTGAAGAAGCAAGACGTGAGGTTGCCAGAGTAGGTGTTGAAGCGAAATATTGTGCAATGAATCTTGCTGAATGCGAGACCGTATGGATAAAATATCTCCTCTAGGAGTTGAAGTATGGAACTAATGTGTGGCAATAATGCAACAATATCACACCAAATCCAGTATACCACTAGACGACTAAGCACCTTGAAGTGGATTGCCTGTTTATGTAAGAGAAGATTATATCTTGACACATCGTCACTAGCTATGTCTTAGATTCAATCAACTCACACACCTTGACAAGTATCTTAGAGGTCCCAGGATAAATTATTTTTTTTCAACAAGCTTGATGCGTGTGATTTGTACATGGGCATGAGGGGGAGTGTAAAAAACTAGATATAGTCTCTAGAATTGAACCTCACATGTTTGCTTTGCAAACCTTCGCATCATCACTTAAGTCATGATAACATAATGGCTTAGGAGATCATAACATCATTGTGTTTTGCTATAAGCCTACTAATAAAAGGCCTTGTACAAAAGATATAAAAATAAGACTTGAATCTCAATCAACTTCACATATCCAACAACAAAAATATCACCCCAATGCCTCAAAGGCTCCCACTCATTGCAGGGTAAGGGGAGCCGGATGTACGCCCCCTATGTTTAAAGCATAGAGTGGCTGTTTCTAAATGACTCATGATGAGCGTAAAAAGTTGCATTGACCAACTGCTAATTTACTACTGAAAGAAGCGCAGATAGTTCAAAAGTTATTCTTCTTTATTCCATCATACCTCAAAGCCGAAAATTAGTGAATCTCTGAGTCCATCGAAGATGATGGAAGCTAACTTCACATTTCTGATTATTAATATTTTATGGCATTCGTTAGCTGTTCTTGTCTGCATATGTTTTCCATCATCTTGTGGTGGAAACTTGTGGGAACAAAAATTGCACTCTTTAAGTCCATCAAAGATATCAATGCATGTTTTGTGCTATCTTTGGCAGGTTTGTCCAGTAGACTAGTTGATGATTTAATGCATGCATGAACTAATAAACATTTCTGATCAAGATATGAATAAATAACTTTACTATTTTAAACAGATATTTTGCTGTTGGAAGTGCTGATTCCTTGGTCAGCCTTTGGGATATTAAAGAGATGCTCTGTGTTCGAACGTTTACAAAGCTTGAATGAGCATTAAAAACAAATTATTTCAACCTGTTTTCCCATCTTGGCATGGGATTTGCTCATCTACTTGTTTCTCCATCAGAGGGCCTGTTAGGACAATAAGTTTCAACCATACAGGAGAATTGCTCGCCTCTGCTAGTTTAGATTTATTCATTGAGATAGTAAGTAGTCTTTAATCATCTTTTGCCCATGCTATTGGGCCTCTTTTTAGATCACACTTCAGATTTCAAGGACTTCAATAATATGATTGCTTTCCATCTTAACAGTCAAGTGTCGAGACAGGACGTCCAGTTCACCAGATTCTGTGTCGTGATGCAATGAACAGTGTGGAGTGGAACCCAAAGTTGAACTTGCTCGCCCATGCTGGGGATGATAAAAACAAGTATCAAGCAGATGAAGGTATGCCACCACAGTAGATAAATCTACTACTAGTTTAGATGCATGCTCTCTCTCTCTCTCTCTCAACACGTTTCACTCATTTTCAGGCGTTTTCCGCATCTTTGGCTTTGGTGTTTTCCGAATGTGTCTTTCCAGTTCCATCATAATTTGTAATCTGAGCTACACAAGTATGGTGTTATTTATGACTTTGCAGAGGGGTATGTGTTTAAGTTCAACGTTCTAATGTAAATTGTGCAGATAATTTGGACACAGCACAAACGTGCAAGTAATAAGTTTAGAATTCAAACACTCGTGCAGTCATGATGCAATTTTGAATGGTTGAACACAAGCAGTGTGCCACAATGTGCTAGAAAAATTATGATTTGCTTTCTCTCATATGCTACTGCTACTGGCGGGGACTCCAAAAAATTCGTCACAATAGATGGCTTTTCTTGTTTCGGAAATAATTAGCTAACCTGAAGAATTTCCATGGAAGGAAATACGTTTCTTGTTGCTTCTAATAATAGGAAACCCATATGATGAATTTTCTCAGTAGATTAGATGAAAGATAGTTACTCCATTTGTCCAGTATAATTCTTTCTCATTTCGATATTTTTGGTTAATGTTTTTAAATTTTTACTACAAATTATGGAAAATATATTACATTGTGACATAAACATGATATCAATTGATTTATTTTTAACAAAGTTTAAAAATATTCTCCCTCTGTCCCCCTAAGATGTTCTCATTTTGACTTTTGGTGGTTTTTAAGGTGAGTTGAAAAAAGGTGAAAGTTTACCATAATACCCTTAATGAAAATGGATGGAGTGTATTAAATGAGGTGGGTGAGGTGTAATAAATAAAGTAAGTGAGGGTAGTTGTGGTATTTTAAATGTTAAAAAATGAAATGAGAAGATATATTGTGGACAAAGAAAAAGGGCTATTGGAAAGATCTATGGAGACGGAGAGAGTATATTTTTAAAATCACAATGGTTCTTTTGACCATGAAATTCAAGATCATATTGTGACCCGTGCGGCCTCTGCGTGCTCTATTGGTAAATTTGATGGTTATTACCTCTCTAAAAGTAAGTGAAGTAAATTTTTTTAAAGTTAGTATTAATCCTTATTTGGAAATAAATGAATAATACGAGATTTTAAGTTTTTAATGTTTTAGTTACAAAGCTGTTCACGGGTAAAAGTCTTCAATTTCTTAAACAAAATAGTGTAGAAGCCTCGGGTACATGACACTAGTGACCAATATCACCGAGGGGGGGGGGGGGGGGG